TTAAACTCACAATTTTGAAAGACTTGTATTATATTTATATATATATATATATATTAATTAAATTTAATAGTTAATGCAAAAGACAAAATACTTAAAAGCTTCTATATTTGTTATTCAATATTTTTAAGAAGATTAAAAAAATTAATTATACAGAATTCAACAGTGTCAATATATATTAAAAAAATAATAAATAATCCAAAAAAAAACCAAAACGTTAACTACAAATTGCAAATTAAAATGAGAAAGTTACAAATATCATAGAATATCAAAGTTTTATTAAGCTATATTATTTACTTGTTTACTTATTTCATTAACATCATTTAATTTCATGTAGTGAATATATTTAAAATATTTAACTTTATAAAAATTCAATAATTATTTAATTGATAAAAATTGATTATGAAGATGTTTTAAAAATATTTTATTATATATAATGTTTGATTATATAATAATTTTCAGTCTATAACTTAGTGATATCATCCTAAGAAATTATTCTATACAATTTTTTCTTATAAATAAACTTCAAAACAAAAAACATATGGTTAAATTTCTAAACGAGTTTCAACCACCAGATGGGTTGGACTCAACTCTCATTGCCACAACTCGTGGAACACTAAGACAAGGATTCGGTTGGATGAAATTTCGTGATTCCCCCCCACTATCTAGAATCTACCTTTATTATATATTTAAGTTGCATTATTTCAATAATGACTTGGCTTTAATCTATTACTATATTTTTTTAACAAATTATTCATTGTATTTTTTTAAATTTAGGTTTTAAGAATTATTTATGTACTATTTTTAAATATAATTTTAAACAGTTTTGCCTAATTCATCTATACATATTTTTCATATAATATTGAACATTTTATGTTTTAATTTATACATTTTAAGTTTTACATAAATTTTAAAATTATTCGTATGATATAAGAAATATCGTACTTATTTTAATTTATTATAGTTGATTTTTTGTGGACTTCTAATGACAAAAGTTTCTATTTTGATTTGCAGATTTTGTGGACTTGTAATACCAGAATTTTCTATTTTGAATGGCAGATTCTCTTGGATGAATTTTAAACCATCAAAAGTGTTTCATGTTCATCATAGGTTCGAAGAAAAACAGGGGAACGATAAATACAGTCAACAGAAAAAAAGAAAAAAAAAAAAAGAATCTGCATGCTCAAAGTCTAAAGCTTCATGACCTTTTTACAAAAGTAGCACTTTGAATAAAAAGTTATAACGAAATCTTACCAGATTTTTTTTTTTTGGAGAAAATTTAATTAGTCACCCAGTTAACTTTTAGGCACATAATCTCTTTCCACTACATTAAAATAAAAATTAATATCGAATTAGTTCGAATGGAATTGGTCTTTAAATAAATTTTTTGATTCGTTAATGAAGAACGCGTTGGTTAAAAGAAATAATTTGTTAAAGATGGTGATTAAAAATATATTTATTAATTTTTATGAATAAGGTAATTATACATTTATCTTTTACATTTTTTTATGTTTTAATATATTATAAATTAATAGTAACTTTTAATATTTTTAATATTGTTATTTTTTAATTTTTTAATTTATTTTTGACTTAAATGTATTTTTAGTCTATTGAGTTGAGTATTATATTTGTATGATTTTTGTCACTCAAATTTTAATAAAGCGAATTATGTCTTTTAAGTATCTTATTTGTGTAGGTTTGATTTTGATGTCAATTTTTTATTAAATAACTTTTTTTTTTTATCAATGTGACACTACAATTTAATATACTTGGGAATCTAATTCGTTTAATTAAAATTTAAGAGATTAAAATTACAAAATTATAATATTTGAGAGATCAGAAGTGAAATTAAACCTTAAAATATATATTTTTAACTAAAATTTATTAGAAATTGTAATTATTTTTTAAATACTCATTTCTAGCTAAAATACTTATATACTTTTATAATTCTCAACAAATTTTAACAAATAGAAGTATGCTAGTAAAATGTAGACTTGAATATGTTTTAAGTCCATGTAAATATTATTTTGTCTTGTTTTAATTCTTGCAAAAAAAATTGTTTTAATATTCTTGAACTTTTTTTTACTATTTTTTGTAATGATCTAGCAAATCACTACATTTAGTATAGCATAGTACTACATAGCAAAAATACTAAATGATAGTCAATTATCATAGGTTTCTCATGCAACAATTATCTGGTCATTCATGCAATTTATACATGTATAATTAAGATAGAAAACATAATACTGAAAACTTGAATCCCCTTATGGAGTTTCATACACACACACCTTGTATACATATATAATCTACATAAACTACATAACTTTACATAAAAAAATCTCAATTCCTTGGTAATAAATATCATTAGTATTTACTCTAAATCATAGTTTCAAAAGGGTTTTCCAACCTCAATTAATTCTAATAAATCATGTATTTAGTAATCAATCCAAAACAAACATTAAGAATAGAA